ACATTAACATTAAAAATAATATTTGCTTTTATATATTTTTTTATAAAAATTTATTACAAAAAAGTACAATTAATACACTTTTAACATTCATGAATTTACAAGCACTATTAGAAAAATCCTATATTAAAATCCAATAATAATTACCCTTATTTATTATGAAATGAGTTCTCTTTTCAGGCATTGCATGAAAATTAGCGAGGCATAGTAATGCTTATGTTGGATAAGCGTGGCTCACTTGTTTGGATGATCGGAGTAATAGGAATATCATACTGGGGAACAGGCATTTCAGTTGGAAGAGTTGGCAGTGCCGCCTTAAAATCGAGCACTTGCTTTGCTTGTTTGATTGATGGTCTCATAATATGAATAGGATGCACACACCATAAGCCAGTAATCAACAAACATTCCATCTCTTTCACGTTAAAAGCGTCAGAAAGTTTATTGTCTACCACATCAAGAAGCCTTTGGTTCCCATAAGCTTGCCACACCCAAGCCACTAATGAAGCTTGATCCTCCTCATATCTAGACTCTATAGACCTTCTTCCACATGCAATTTCAAGAGCCACAACTCCAAAGCTGTAAATATCTGATTCCTTGCTTGCCTTGCCTGTTCTATGACACTCAGGAGCCATGTAACCTATAGTCCCAGCCAACAAAGTTGTTCGTGATCCTTTTGCATGATCAGTTAACCTAGCTAAACCAAAATCACCAAGCTTAGCATTAAAAGTTGAATCTAACATAATGTTGCTTGTTTTAATATCCCTATGTAGCACACAGAAGTCTCCTTCTTCATGCAGATACAAGAGAGCTGATGCCAAGCCTTGGATAATTTTGTAGCGAAGGTTCCACGGTAAGAGGCTTCTTCCCTTGAAGAGATGGGAATCCAGACTGCCATTAGGCATGAACTCATAAGCAAGTAAAAGTTCCTTTTCATGGCACCATCCAACAAGCTTCACTAAGTTCTTATGCCTCAAACGGCTAATAATCTTCACTTCTGATTCATACTCCTTGATCCCTTGTTTGGACTCCCTTGATACTCTCTTGATAGCTACATTTGTATTGGAATCCCTCAAGAAACCTTTGTAAACTGATCCAAATCCTCCCTCACCAAGTTTCTCCTCATCTGCAAAATTCTTTGTTGCTTTAGCCAATTCATCATAAGAGAACTTTCTAGGTCCCATGCCATTCGGGAATTCATCTTTGAATGACACATCAAAGACAGGAACATCTACCTCTTTTTTTGTCCTCTTTCTGCAAAATATAAAAAGAGTTAAACCCAAGACAAAAATTAGAGCACATGCTGCATTAATAATCCCAATTGGTAATCCTATCCAGTTCTTGCTTCCTTCTGGAGGGTCTGCAACAGCAGAACTTGGAGGGGTCGCAGTCGTTGGTGCAGGGGATGAAGAGGGTGTGTCTTGGGAGTTGGATGAACTTGGGGGTGCAGAACCGACGCTAGGATTGCTGATTGTTCCTGAGGCGGAAACAGGACCCATTATCACTCTTGGAGAAGAGCTTGGAGAAGGAGCTGAGCTTGCTGGGACTCCTGAACCGCCTGTATTAAGAGCAAATATAGTAAACAGTGATAATCCGAAACAGAGACTTGCCGAATTATGCAAACCCATTTGGGACAGCATGGTGTAGCGTGGATGAGAAAACGCATGAAGAAAAATTTATATGTAATTGTGAATTGGTAGTAGCTCAAATTGACCGGACTTTGGAATATAAACGCGTTTTCATCTATATCTACGTGAAATAATTGAAGGGGAAACTGTTAATTTTGGCCACCAAAAGTCTGTCCAGGTCCAGCACCATTGGAAACTGGTAAAAAATCAGAGTTCTTATTTTTGTTTTTCTTCGTAGTAGCTCAAAATTGTGGACTTTGAAATATAAACGCGTTTTGAAATATAATTGCGGATTGGTATTGACTGAACTTTGAAATATAAACGCGTTTATATTCCAAAGTCCCCTCAAATTAGCAACTTTTTCAAGATTGAGAGAGTTACTTAGTGTTTGCAACATGCAGAATTTAGTTTGAGAGAGGGTCTACAAATTCTAGATTGCAGACATGGTGTTTTCCAAATTTCTCTAAACTAAAGTCTGAAGACTTTTAGTTTAAGGGAGGGATTGTTGGAAAGTAGATCCTAGTTTTTAGCCATTATCCCTATAATTTAGGAAGTTTAAGTTATTTATTTGTTTTTGCTATTATTTAGGTTGTTATCATTTAAAATAGATTAGATAAGTTGAGATTATTGGTTAGTTATTTTTTTAGATAAACTTATCTTATAAAACCTATTTAAAGGCTAGTTTATTTTCATTTTAACGTGAGTTTGATTTTCATTCCATTTTCTCCTTCTCTGGAATCCTTGGTTTCTTAATAGAGGCTCCAACATTGAGGTCATGCTGTTGGAGAAATAGGGGGTTAGAAAATAGATCATTAGATCATTTGCTTCAAGGTGTGCTGCAAATGCTACTTTCTTTTAGGCTAATTTCACCCCCATCAGATTTGATATGCAAAAGGGGTAAGCCAAAATGCCCATAGGATACAATGAAGTGCCTTGTTGATCTAGCCTTTGCACTAGCAAAATCAACCACTGAACCATCCTTTGGAAAGCGACAAAACAATAGTTTTTATATAGGGATTTCTCGAGCAATCGCAATACAAAAAGGGATTGTTTTATTTAGATATTTCTGGGTTCAAAAAGACTCTTCAAGAGAAGAAGAAATAACTCCATATTTATAGGGCAAGATGTCTGTTGTAACTAACAATTCTTTTCAAGATGTCTATTGGGAACAGACACTTCTTTTCAATTTTTATCCATTGGAAACTCTTTCAAAAGTTATTTGGTTTGATTTGAATTCCAATTGACGTGTTTCCTTGCCTTCCAAAGTTATCCACTCGCTTTAGAAATTTATCAAAATTCTATCTCTAATTTTTGACGTAAATTATTCGAACCATATTTATATGATTCGAACCAAAATTGTAACTTTCTGGATTCTGGTTTTACGTAAATGGTTCGAATCATAATTATATAATTTGAACCAAAGTTACAATTTCTCAAATGCATTATGTGTAATTGCTTCGAATCAACTTTTTATGGTTCGAATCTAAATCCTGAAAATATTTTGAAAATTCTTCAACATTCCCCCACCATTTTCAAAATAAAACAGCCCATCAATTGTTTTGGAAATCTTATGCATACATGAAGGTGTTTTACAATTTGAACCTTTCACTTAGTGAACATGTGTTGGCAAATTGGTCAGAATTGCATGGTAGACTAATGCTTTGAACCAGCAATTCTAAGCGACTAATTGGGCACATACCACACACAAGACTTTAAGCTTTCCAAAGAAAGAATTCAACATCTGCCGACACAAAAACTGGCCATGTGTCATGTATCCTTTTCATGAGTGCTATTAGAGCCAAGTCCCTAACTCTTAGAAATGGCACCACTTCCACTCATATAGGTAGATCCCATAAAAAATACCACCACATTAAGCACTTCAACAAAATCTGTTATAGGACCTATTAAGAGTAAAACTCATCCTTCTTTTTGTTTCATGTGGTTATCAAGTACTCTTCCACTTGGGATGGTATTATTGATAAATTGAGTACTTGCAGTCACATTCATATGATGTACTTTACTCATTGAAATTAAGACTTGAAGTTTTTATCAAGCATTAAGTTGAGGTTTCATCATGTGTGACTTTTGTCAATATGGACTTGAGACCCATCCCTCTCTTTGTCTTGTGAATTTTCCTTTGATAATCCTTTTAATCAAGGATTCATGAAAACTAACTTTTTGTGATTCAAACTCAAATCTTGGAAATATTTTGAAAATCCTTCAACACATGCTTGGTGTTCCCAACTATGAACTTTAACAGACTTCTGCCAGTCAAGCCAATGCAGATGCATGGATTCAAAAATATGTCAAGAACTATGGTGACATAAAGTTTCACTATACTACTGTAGGGAACTTAGTTTTAGTAAGGCCTTTTGATTCATATGCATGTCCCCGCAATGTAGAAGATTCAAAATTCAGTTTCAATGGCTGGACTTAACGTCCAAATATCCACAACAATCGACACAAGCATCATTGGATCATATTTTCCTTTATCAAATTGCTGTTTCAGATAAGAATACAAATCAATGCTTGATCCTATCATCTGCTTCTTAGTGAACAGTTCAGCCCCATTACGTGTTAATTTGCATCCATGTTTCAGTTACATTAACAACTTCAATGACATGAGTCTTGATTTTGCTCTCTTCACATCTCCATTGCATGTGTTTTTAGATCGTCATTTACAATATAGCAATCTTTTTATGCTGCACTTGAAAGGTTTGGTGGGGTTTCTTTGGATATTGTGATATTCGAGAGTGGTTGTCCCTCAGCTGGTGGAATGGCGGCAGCCATTGGGTATTCCAAGACTTAACATCTTCAATCTGATACAACATGTGAAGAGGGGGACAACAAATAAGTTTGGAAAGCCTATTGTAACTTATATTTTTGCCATTTTCAATGAGACTAACAAAGAGCCAGAACTTGATAAACAATGGGGGCTTTTCTTTCCAAACAAACAGCCTAAATAAACACCAGTCCCTTGCCTCACCAATATTTAAAACAAGCTTTGCTGCTACAAACCCAACTATCTTTGCACTTGATCTAGATGCAGCTTTTGATCCCTTAACTCCTGAAGCAAGAAAGAATAGGAGATGATTACTGGTAGGTATAACCATTGCAGAATTGGCTATATTTTCTACCATCAGTTTTAGTTTGTTCTTTTTTTGGAGTAAGGGAGCAAAAGGCAAACTAGATGTTCTTGCTTTTAATATGTCTTTCGATGATGAATTTGGGAATGACATGGAACCTAAGAAGTTCTTATATGATGAATTAGCTAAAACAACAAAGAGTTTTGCAGATGAAGAGAAGCTTGGCAAGGAAGGGTTTGGAGCAGTTTATAAAGGCTTCTTGACGGATTTAAATGTTGTAGTTAAAAGAATCTCAAGAAGATCTAAACAAGGGATCAAGGAGTACATTTTATAAGTGAAGATCATTAGCTGATTGAGGCACAAGAATTTAGTGAAGCTTATAGGTTGGTGCCATGAAAAGAAACTTTTACTTGCTTATGAGTTCATGCTTAATGGCAGCCTGGATTCTCATCTCTTTAAAGGAAGAAGCCTATTACCATGGAAGCTTAGATACAAAATTGTGTAGGGGTTGGCATCAGCTTTGTTGTATCTACATGAAGAAGGAGATTTTTGTGTGCTACATAGAGAAATTAAAACAAGCCACATTATGTTAGATTCAGCTTTCAATGCTAAGCTTGGGGATTTTGGATTAGTAAGGTTAGTTGATCATGAAAAGGGATCACAACCAACTATAATGGCTGGGACTATGGGCTACATGCTCCTGAATGTCACACCAGAGGCAAGGTAAGCAAGGAGTCAAATGTCTATAGTTTTAGAGTTGTGGCACTTGAAATTGCATGCAGTAGACGAAGGTCCATAGAGCCTAGATATGAGTAGGATCAAGTGTTCTTGGTAGCTCGGGTTTGGGAAGAAACAAATGCTTGACATGGCTGACAAAAAACTTTGTAACAATTTTAACATGAATGAAATGGAGTGTTTGATGCTTGTTGGACTTTTGGCGTGCCATCTTGAAATGCTCATTGACATGCTATTTTACTCTCCCCTAAAGCTACCATAATTTGGCTTCTCTTCGCTACCATGGTCATGAGTACAAAAATTATCTATATAATCTTTCCTTTTTATTAATGAATTTCATAGTTCTCCATAAAAAATAAATCATTTTCTGGCATAAAGGAAAAGTTAAAGACAATCCCTCATCATGGGGTCATGCAAATGAGTAAATACAAAAACAAACCCAACACACAACTCGTATTATAACACAAAAGAAAATGATTAGTATATTTTCTAGTTTAATATATTTGTTGACACTTATTAGTTCTAGTATTAAAATTTATAGTTTTAAGTTTTTCCATGTTTAATTCTAAACTACAAATTATTAATTTTTGTACAAGTATGTTGTAAAATATACTGAACTGTATAGTGTTTATATCAATATTCTAACACAAATGGCAAAGGGGCACTTAGAGAAATACCAAGGAGCCACAAAGTGCCTGTTAGATTATTATTAGTTGCCTTATGGTTCACATACATAAATCGAACCTATAGCAAATATAGTGTAAAACAAGCAAGCTAAAGATTACCATACCAAAAATGTCCATGCTAGGTGTCATGCACGCCATGCAACACTAGTAACCAAATTTCAAACTTTAAACTTTTTAGTAGTTGACTACTTCATAATTAATCCAAATCATATGCTAGTGAGACATCCTCATAACTAGAATTTCAATGTCCCAAAGAGTAAAGATTCAGAACTAATTAAACCCCATGTCCTAAGAGTAGAGATATTTGTTTTCTTGTAACAATTCTTACTAAACATTCCTTTGCTAATCAATTCTTTTGGAATGAAAATTTAAATTTCACACACACACACCAAAAAAAAAAAAAATGGAGAATAAAGATTCCTTCATAATGTGTTTGGTTAAGACATTCTAGGAAAAACTGTTCTGAGAAATAGCTGTTTGATCCCACTTTTTGCGAAACTTTCTCTTTAGAGTTTGGGAATTCCAATTCGAGAAGGCACAATCCCAATGTCTATAGAAGGGGGTCAACTAAACCCTAGGGGCAGGCGGTGAACAGTTTCACAAGGTATGTGCAAAACCAAAGACACTCTTAATTAAGATTTTGCTTCCTCTGCCAGGATATGGATATGGATTTTGCTCCATAGTCCATACAGATTTTGAGCTCTGCATTCTAAAATGAGTTGAGCAGAAGTTTAGAATTCCTTAACTTGCTAGCTGAGCTTTTTGAGCTTGGGAATTAATATAGACATCTTTTAATTTAACACATTTTACAATATATATTTATTAAAAGATTATTTTTTATATTAAAAAAATTATTATTTTTTGATTTTAAATTCAAGACAAAAAATTTAAAAATAAAGACATGTATATAATATAGAGAAATTAATTAAATTAATTATATTATATTATACTTTAATAACTTTATCAATTGAATGTTAGGTATGTATCAAATTGAAGGATGTCCAAATCATTTTCATTAGAGCTTGATAGAATTCGAGCTTGACGTGGCTCGTTTTTATTCCTACTTGCCTACAAGGCAATTGATGGCTTCTAAGTCAGTCAATTTGGATTATTAAATGGTCCCTGCTGGAATAGTAGTTAGTCAAGAGTAGACCTGGCAAACGGGTGGGTTTGGTCGGGTTAGGGTCGGGTTAGAATGGATAACGAGTCAAAACGAGTCACGGGTCAATGAAAGCAAACCCTAACCCACCCATCACTGGTTATAGGTCAACCCGCGGGTTGACCCAATTAAATTTTTTTTCTTTTTTTTTTCTCTATAATTTGTACCTATTATCATTCAAAGAAAATTATTCAAAAGATTTAAAAAAGAAATTTAACATCTTATAAAAATAATTTTTTTTCATTAATTTAATATATACATATTTATAGTTCCTCAGAATCACCTTCTTTATTTCTCTTTAAAGAACAGTGCTAATCAAATTTAAGAACACTACACTTATAAATCTCAATAACAAAAAAAAAAAGAAAAAGCAGTAGTAGGATGACAACCAAAAAACACAAACCCCATTGGAACATATTTGTTTTGGTCATTGCTTTCAAAGAATAATCAATCGAATGCATCTAAGTAAGTAAAGGAGAAAATCAAGTAAAATTTTTACTTGGAATGGAAAGATAACTAAAAAGCATAAATAAGTAAACAATTTACCTTGAAGTATTTAGAGAGAAAAGTTGGTGACAAAAAGAGCACCTGCCAGACTCATAGGAGAAAAAAACAAAGGGCTGAGTGGACGCAACGGTGACTCGATAAGATTAAGATCTAAGTCTAAAATAATGTTAAAGACTAAAGAGAAAAGGTGGAGTTGAAGCTTGAAAGTTAAAGGCTGTATGGACTATGGAGGTTGAAGAATATGAGAAGAGTTTGAACTTTGAAGAGTTAGAGTTTTCGAGAGTATTAGGTCAAGCAAGAATAGGAAAGGTCGGGAAGTGAGTTATGAGTGGAGTGGGATTATTTTTACTTCTAGAAGATGATGAGTCAAGAGAATCAATTAGTTAATTAGGGAATATTAGTCAATTATTAGAGGTTTAGATGGGATTGGGAATTGGAAAACAAAATAAATAAATAATAAATTAAAAAATTTTAAATTTTTAGACGGGTAAACGGGTCAAACTTGTTAACTCGATGGGTCAACCCGTTATTGACCCGTGACCCATCGGGTTCTTTTAACGAGTCATTAACGGGTCACGGATCATAAATATATGACCTTAACCCGTTTTAAACGGGCGGGTAATGGGTGGGTTAACGGGTTGGGTAAAAAATTATCAGGTCTAATTGTTAATAGAAATTAATTCTTTATTAATTAATATTGGTATAAGATTTATAAAAATTATGCATGAAACTATGAATATCAATATTTGATGCTTGATTTTATTTTTTT